CTTGTCCAGCACCCATGCATTGGACATTCGGGGCCAACAGGAGCGATCCACAGTCTGCCATTCATAAACGTTGTCAAAGATATACTGCACCAAGACTAACATACATTTTGGACGTCTCGCAGCGATCCGTGCTTCTCCAGCTTGCCACCTACGTAGGTCGTGGCAAGTGGAATGTCCTGAGACGATGTTGTTGTGGCCAAGGCCACCTCGTCCATTCCAGATGTCAGATCGTTCTTTCGTGCCACCTGGATGGGACGATGGGTGTTGATTGCCTTGGTTGCAAGTGGTTCATTTGGTGGTGGATTCTGGCGCTTGTGCTCGCTTCTGGGTCGACGGCTGCTGCTATTCTTGCTGCTGTGGAGGGAGCTGATGGTGTATGTGACGTTTGGCGATGCAAGAGTCGTCGTCGCAACACACTTCCTCACCATGATGCAATAAACTGCTATAGGCGGCGCTGGGCAGTGAAACATTCCAAATTACCGTTTCAATCCAAAATAGGTGTAAAGTACTCGGACTGTCGCTCAACCTTTTGTACCATGGAGCCCCACGTCCAACGAGAACTTCAAGGAGTCAGCTATGGCGGTTGCAATAGTATTACCTGTACTATATTTCCTTGCCACGTACAGTAGTACCACCGGGACTGTCCAATGTGCACCAGAGGATTGTTGCGTCTCAAGTTGACTTCTGATTGCTACGATGCAGGGATTGGTTGTAAATGACGAATCGTTTATCCAATCACAGAGTGACCTAACCCCACACCATGGCCATGACCACGCATGATTCGTCCCTAGTCTTTATTAGGCTAGACTAAGTGCTAAAGAAGTCATAACTTTGGCATTAGGTATGTACAGTTGTCATCTTTCACGCTATATTTGAAGTTTTCGCCAAAATGCGTCTTTAATGTGCTGTTTCGTGGCTCAGAGATCACCGATCAACGCAAGAACATTGTAGCATGTACAGCAGCATTGATACTACGTAATAAAGCGGCATGGACGGTGTTACGATGCTTATTGCGGGGTATAATCACACCCAAAGTAAGCTATTGGCATGTTTGAGGTCACTTCACGGATGCTAAATAAGTGTAATCGCCACACATTACGTCTCGTTATATTGCCCGCAGCCATCGCTTCAGTCTTCATATTAAATGTATCACGCCCAGACAAGCCGTTGCTGAGCAATTCAACGACAAAGTCACGATACTAGTTAACATTGTTTGTCATAAATTATGACAAACATTGATGTTAACTTACTTGTATGTTAACTTTATGCTATATTTCGATGTTATCTTTTTAAATTATGACATACTTATTTTATATTAAAAATACGTAACGGTATTCTCGTGGATACTTTTCCAAAAAGCATCGTACCTGGCGGCCAAAATTTGATGTCCATGCTGTATACGTTTTGAACAGCGGAATCGAATACAAAGTCGCCTTGCACCAAAACTCGTCTCCTTCGTCTAGACATACGCTTATGTCGCCAACGATGGCTATGTTCGTCATTTCCCGCAGCCTCCAGCAAATTTCATGTGTCCTTCAGCAAAAACTATGTGCGATTCAGCAATTCTGATGTGGCTCTCAGCAATTCCTATGTGGTCCTCAGCAATTCTAAAGTGGCAATATTTTATCATCTTGATTGAAGAAGATGGCAATCCTTCAAAACGGTTAAATTAAAAGCAGTGCACCGCTGCTTTCTTCTCAGGCTGGACACGATTTGATTCTAGCGTGTTGTATGATGAACAACTTGCTGTCATATCGTTTGAGGATCGAAAAGTTGATCATTTCCCGCAGCCTCCTGTTTTTCCAAGGCAATTCAGAGCAAATCACTAACGTTAATGAAACAACTGGCGTGTGATTGGTAGCGCAGGTACAGTATACGAGTGTTTTCGAAGTGTCTCGTTAAATGAATAGTTTCTGTAGCTCAGTGGCAATCAGTCTAAGGCATGAGGAAGGTCCGTGATTCAATAGTACGTTACTCTATCTTATCCGCTTTTTTCTATTTTTGAAACAGCACAGCAAAATACCGGTACTGTAGTGCGCATGGAATACCATGGTTTAGGGACATGACATAGCCCTGGTAATAAGTACTTTTACGCAAGTATTGTGGGACGGAGGAAGTACAAGGCAAGGTGATTACATTAGGGAACTGTCGCATAGCGAGTGATAGTTGGTGTGTGCGCAGGTACAGTTTGTGACAGTTTCTGAGGTCCCCCACTGTACACTGAGGTGAAGGCAAGGAGGCATTTAGTTTGATACAACTCTGGCGCAGAATAGTTGTCGCCTTCATTTTCACTTAATTTATGTATGCCAAAACTTGACTTTTCCGAATAAACCTGTCTAATTGGATATGAAGTATCGGATTATATAGGTAAATACACCAGAATGGGGTGATGGCAAGTCGCTTCCGAGAGTACAGATGTCAGCTCAGCGATATGGTGCGCACGCTTGCAAGGAATGACATGTAGCATTCAATATATAGGTTCACTCAGCGGAGTACGAACTCTCGAAGAGTTCCCTAGTAGCAATAAGAACATGGCGCGGACATCGCCGTCCTCCCATCGTTGGTGGAGCTACTGGACTACACACAGGCCAAACTGCGTTGCGCGCCAGTGAGAAGCTTTAGAAGAGATGAATAATGCTACAGGAATCGAAGTGTATGTGAACTAACGACGCCTTCATTGCCTGGCGGGTGAAGCACCACATTGGGTTTGAAGCCACCGTGGTGGTTGCGTGGACATGGTGGTGGGGTCTGTAGTCGTCGAGAATGGTTTGGGCACGGCAGTTAGGATGGATAGTGTTGGTGTCGTCTCTTGGACGGATCAGGGGCTCAAACGTGTATGGGGCCAACTTGTTGGTTGGTGTGACGTGGAGGTTGGGTCTGCTGTCATCGAGGATGACTTGGTCGTCGCCGTAGTTGATGCGGTGATACAGTACATGATGCTGGCGTCAACGCTTGCACGGTCTCAGTTGTGTCTGGAGCCAGCTTGTTGGCTGGCGTAGAAGTGGTGGTGACGACAGCTGTCGTCAAGGAGGGCTTGGGTTGGGCGCGTCCGTTGTTGATATGGAGGTGGTTGATGTGGTGGTAGTTGTTGCTGACGTCGAGTCATGTTATGGGGTCATTGTGTTGGTTGGCGTACATGTGGAGTGGGGGAACGGCTCTAACGTGGCGGAGGTTTATACTTTAGTGGCTGGTGCTGGCGGCGACTCGTGGACAAGTTAAATACAGTAATATTTATGAGCTAGCCTGGTGGTTCACATGAATGGGGTCGCTGTGCCGATTTGGTGGAGTTTAGTAGCGGCAACGAGGTGAGTACGTAGGTTATGTGAACTCCACCTGGAATTGGAAGGGCTACTGGTAGTTGGTTGAGATGAACGACTATCTGGGATTGGTGCGTAGTAGTGGTCCTCCAACTATTAATCCAGGCAATGCCACCAGGTGAGAGTCTTCTCTGGGCACTGGTCGCGGCTGATTGCCCCATCACCAATAGACGCCCATGGCAAGCAATAAGCTCCGTCCAGACACAACACCGGTTTCAGACACGACCGAACCCCAACCACCACTACACGACTAAAACAATCATCGCCATACCCGAGCCGGGTTTGTGGTATCTCAAGCAACTCTGGCCTTGTGTCGCCGCAACGCGTCGTGCGGTCCGTTCTCTTCGCACCCTTCGTTGATCGATATCAACATCACTGGCCCGACATCGTTCATTCCGACGTCGTTGGTGCTTCGCAAGGCTGGCTCGTACAACGTGTACTTGGTCGTGACGGTAGATGTGGGCAAAGGTGTGCGGCTGGACGTGAGCGTGATGGCGTCGGTTCAAGTGATAGACCCAATCCCGCCCGTGACCAATACAAAGTTGTACATTTCGATC